GGGGGGGGGGGCGCGGGAAGTGGATTCAAAATGGCTGCTAAATCCATTTGGTTAATAGTCTTAGATAAGGGCTGCTCGGGTCCTCTGACCAGCTTTTAGATGGGGCAACTCAGACCGGGTCCCGGGGCTCGGATCCAGGCTTCTGGTTCTGCAAGGGGGAGGAGAGCGGGCTGCGCCGGGCTTAGGCGCCTTGGAGAGCGCGGGGGGCTGGAAAGTTCACTCGGGGAGGTTGCTCCCCCGACGGAGACCAGGCTTTGCCCGAAGGCCGGCCTCCTGGAGCCCGCGCGGCTCACGGGGGTCTCTGCTTTGGTGACTCTTTACCTTTTTTTCCCCCTCCCCCGTTTCAGACATCCCCTCTTCCCACTCTTAGCACTGATTTTTGAGAAATGTGAACTAGCGACGTGCACGCCCCGGGAGCCCGGGGTAGCGGGAGGCGACGTTTGTTCTTCCGAATCTTTCAACGAAGACATAGCCGTGTTCGCCAAACAGGTCAGCAACCCCCGATCCCGGCCCCCCCCCCGGATTCATTATGCGCTTCCCCCGGGGCTGGGCGCGACCCCCGCGGGAAGGACGAGGGCGGTTCGCAAGCCCTGGTCGCCTTGCCTTCGCCCCCTTGCAGCCCCCTGGATTCCCTCTCGCTCCTCTCCGGAAGGGAGGGCAGCCCTCCGGGCCCACACATTGACTTGAAGGGTCGCCCTAGGGCTTCGATTACCCTCGCCGCCCTCCTGGCCCCTTTCCCAAGAAGGCTGCCAGCTTCTGGGTCGCTGCTGGTGCGTGGAGACGGAGGGGGCGCCGCAGACAGCTGTCCGGCAGGCTGGGCTCCTTCGCTTGAGTCTTTCGGCTCTGCCTAGCAGTTTTGGGGGTGGGTGGGTTTGTGGGGGATGATTGCATGGGGAAGGGGGCGCGATGTAACGTAGAGACGCAATACAACTTGAGTTGCCTCGGTCTCTCAAACTGCTTTTTCTTTCTTTCTTTTTTTTTTTTTTAAATCCCTTCGCCCCGGATTTTTCTACCCTGTCTCTAGATACGAGCAGAAAAACCCTTATTTTCTTCTAACCCCGAACTGGATAACTTGGTAAGAGTTCAGATACGTCTCCCTGACATAACGTGTTTCCCTTGTTTTCTTAAGAGGCAAGTTTTCCTTTTTTTTTTTTTCCCCTCCCCTCAGAATGGGGTGGGGGGGATACGATAGTTAAAAAAAAAGAAACCGAGCTGGAGACTTTTTGAGGTCCTTTCAGGAGCACGATCCCAAAGCGAAGTTGGGTGGACTAGCCGAGGACATTCGCCTCATTTTACCCTAGCTGCGATTATGCAAATTTCGAGGTATCTTTGCTTTAGAGGCAGAGCTGGGTAGTCCTGGAATAATGGCAGTTTGAGGCAAAGATCTTGAGTCAAATTGACTCTGAAAAAAATTAAATTAGCCCTTTGCAATAGAAACGTATTCTCTTCTTCTCATATTTGCTTGCCTCTACTGGACCAGCAATATTACTATCTATATTACCGTTTGCTAAAGAAATATTTATGAGCCGTGTAATTTGGCCAATTCATTGCAACAGCGGTCAAAAGTAAAAATCTGAGCTTTCTTCTTGTTAAACAGTCTGCAGAAAGACAGCTTTTAAGTTCTAGTGTTGCTGTAATAAATCAAAATATTCACATACGTCCAGGCATATGTCTGCATATATAAGAACGTACATACAGTGACTCCTGGATAGTAAACAGGAAGAGAAGTATTGGAGAAGCCCTAAAATCAGGGACAGAGACTTACATTGTTTTGTATTTTTACAGATGATCCAAGCCATACAAGTATTAAGGTTTCATCTGTTGGAATTAGAGAAGGTAACTCTCTCTCTCTCTCTTTCTTTTCCTCATCCCTATCTAATAATATTTCATAAAGTTGAAGCTACAGCAGAATTTCCATAAATGTCTTTCCTTCTGGTAATTAGTGTCAAAACCAATCATGGCATCCATTTCTCTTTGCAGTTTAATTACAATTTCAGCCACTAAAAATCTGGATCACAAACTCCCTGGCCTTGTATCTCTTTTTACTACCTTTGCACAAATGCATTAGATAATATTTAGAAGGATGCTTGTCTTTCAGCGTGCTTCCCCCGTAGGGTAGCTATTTCTATCCAGGTACTTTAGTTTTGAGTTAGTTTTTCAGCGACCCCCCCCCTTTTTTTTTCTTTTAAAGAGCCATCTGCAGGGTCACACACAGGGCACAGTTTGTCCTGTAACATTTTGCAGAAACAAGCCAGAGTTGCTAGATGTGTCCGTTTCTTATTTCTTTTGTGGAGGCTACTCCTTCCCTTTCCCAAGAAGGCAGATGTCCGATCAATCTGAATATGTGTACTAATAATACTACTACTATGGGAACTCAAGTACATTTCAAAGTAGGACTGGACTAGAAACATTTCAGGGCTTCCTGGAATATTGTTTCTACTCCTAAAAAAAAATAAAATCCATGAGATATTTATACATACATATAAGGAAAGGGGGCGGGGGGGGGGTGAATAGAGACATTTTAGGTATTTTTTTTTTCTAACAGTAGCAAGTGGCATGCTTGTGCTTTGCAATAAATGGTTAATATGGGCCTGTTCACAGTGGAAAAACATTACAGCAGCTCAGAATGTAAGGGCATGGATTCAGGTACTTTTAGAGCATTCCACTTTTTTGTACAATTGGAGCAAGGGATCCTTTGTGTCCACAGACTCCTTGGGAAAAGGCTTGTGATGCTATAACGGGGTAAAATTAAACAGTTTACCTTAAATGTCATCCGTGCAGGCTACCTCACTAATAGTCACAGCTCTGAGAGCAGATGAATTTAACACGGGTGTTGAATATGTTGTAGGCTGTGAATCATCTTGTCACTGTCAATTTTCTGGGATATCTCTATTTTGCCAGAAAAAGAAAGTTCTTCTTAATTCTGAAAGCATCTCGAGGGGATAATTGCAGTCTGTTTCCCCCTATTTAGAACTTTTGATGTCAGGAAAGGGGGGGGAGGGGAATTGACTGCTCTTGTCAATTTCACTTAACATGCCCTTGATTATATTTTGGTGTTGTTACATTTGTCATAATGCAGGTACACGAATTGTGTGACAATTTCTGCCACCGGTACATTAGCTGTTTGAAAGGGAAAATGCCAATCGATTTGGTAATAGACGATAGAGAAGGCGGATCAAAATCAGACAGCGAAGACATAACGAGATCAGCAAACCTAACAGATCAGGTATGGTCATCTCCAGCTTTGCAGTTGCTGTGCAAATCTGTATGCGGATCGTTTGCCAGGTCACTACGCCCCCTTTTATTATTTGCATATGATTAAGTCCCTTTTGGATAAATTTCCATCGAAATGAAAATTTTTGAATAATGTGGCTATTATTACTTCATTAAGTCTTGCTCTGGGATTCGACCTGGCGGAATGAGCTTGTAAAAGCATTGCCTCCAAACTTGACCTGCTCCTTGTCGCTTTTAATTTTTGTCTTTATTTTATTTACTCTCCTTTTAATGACAATAGAAGGCTCTACTTGTGAATCGTAAAGAGATGCTAGAAAGGGGTGGGAGGAAGAAAGAGGAAGAGTCAAATCCGAGATTGGTGGTCTGGGGAAAGAAGACAGAGAAGGTTTGAAATCTAGCAAACTATTTTCTTCCTGTCTCTATGGTTCATTAGCCTGTCTTGTCAGTTTTCCTTGGCCGAAAGCTTTTAGACCTCAGTGAGCATTGCTTTGTATGAAAATTGCCTGCTGCAAGGACATTGGGCTTTATTTAAAAGAAATAATAAAATCAGGAGAAGCAGCAAGAACTAGTGAGGGAAAGAATGATGTTGCGGTTACTCTGTGTCATCCCTGCCTCTTTGGCTGTCTCTTATTTGGGGTATCTGAATAGTCTTTAGAGTAGGCCCTGCGCAGTCTATGCCGGGCCACTGAACCTTCCAACTTCACCTGGTTTCCCGTGCTCATGCCTAACGCTTGTCTCCCTGGAATAAGGCTTGTTTTCTTTTGAAAGGAAAACAAAAGTATCATTTTGGTTTAAAACGGAGAAGTGATATTAACTAATGAACGTTCCTTAACGCTACAATTAGTGGTGGGCATCGTCTTGGAGTGTGTTGCGGAAGGTGACAATAATGGGCAATGCCGGGGGTTTAGTTGCAATTACTGCTTCCTTTGAAAGAAACAGATTCCAACACACACCCCTCCCAAGTTTCTTCCTTCTTTATGATCTGTTATGTTGGAAACTTTCGAAAGCCATTCGACTGTAGCTCTACAGACGCTTTTTGTTTGGTTTTGCGGAGGCAGGCAGAGGTCTGTTTTGAGAAGGCATCGATTTGAATGCTGTTGTCTTGATCAAGGCGATTTTATGCCTCAGTTCGGTTCAAAGTGTTCTTCATTTACTGCTCCCTCTTTTTGGTGGCTGCGTCCGTTCATGATGAGGATGGGATAGAAGAAGCAATGTGTTGATTGCAGCCATGAGATTTTATGAAGCTCTTGGACAAAATGCCTGTTTTTGAAAAGTATTCAATAAGCAATGGAAAATTTGTAAGTCGGCTGTTACTTTTGCTTGTCAGGATCTCATTCCCTGCATGTATACATGGGTGGGCCGGCAGTGGTCTGCTGACTTTTTAGACCTTGGAAGGGGGGTGGCTGCGGTTTGGTTGGGGGTACCGTGCGCCCCTGCAGATATCGCTGAAAACAAGGGCTGTAGTTGAAGAGGGCTGTTGTTGAATCAAAATTGTAATCCAACAAGTCTAACGAGAAAATAGGTTTCTAAAAGCTTCAGAGTGCTTGGTACATAAAGCTATTTGAGCAAATTAGAAGAACCGCTTAGGGGCATGAATGAAATCAACACTTTAATTGCGTCCAAAATGAAGATTTATGTCCCATTTTCCCAATGAATCATTATTTTATCTAAGCGGAAGCAAAATATGGGAGGTTTTTTTTGTTGTTGTTATTGTGCTCAAGTAAAAGAAACCGGGAGCTTGATTTACCCCCTCCAATTCTTTCTCTGTCTTTCATTCTCTCTATCGCCAAGGTGTTTATAAACTTCCCCAAAGTTTAGGCGCCGCAAACATGCGAGCGCGCACACACGCACCGGTTATTGCTCCCCTTTCAAAATGTTCCGACGTTTGTTATAGCGGCTCATGTGAGCTTTAATGGGCCATCTCCGAATTGTCTTTTTTTTTTTTTTTTGGTGTCTTCTTCAAGCGGAGAAGTTAATGGGTTGCTGAATATTTTCTCCTTCCTTTCTCCCCCCACCCCCCCAAAGCCCGGTGTAAGTTCCTTGCCTTTCGCCTCCCAGACAGAATAAGACCACTCCGAGCACCGCGGAGAAGCTACACGTATCCCTTGGCCCCGCGTTTACTATACTGCGCGTGCGCCGCCTGGTAGTTTGCCCATTTCACAGGCTGTGTGGCGAAGGCTACGGTGCGTTCCTCGGAGATACCCCGCAAGGCTTGATCTCTTGTTTCCTCAAAAGACGCCCTTTCTCTCTCTTTTTTTCCCCCCCTCTCCGCTTCCCCTCCCCCGAGGGAGACAGAAGTTTTCCCCCTTTCTTTGTGACGAATGTTGGCCCAATCAGTTTACAAGCAGGTCGCCTTGTCTGCTTTTTAGACTGGCCTGTGGATGGCAGGTACTGGTCCCTTTACTGTAGGACCAGACTCGGCTAATCTACGTATGGTGGGAAAAAATAGATGTCATAATAACGAAGAGGCCAAACCAAAAGCTTAGGCATTTGAATAAAAAGAAATGGTGCTAGAAGCCTCCCTTCGGTCTTCTGAGAATACCAATGCATCCCTACGTCTCCATAGTTTCTGAGTTTGGTCACCTTTTTTTGCCTACCGCACAGCCTTAGTAGCCGCCGGGAACAAAAGCGAGCCAGGCGTGGGTTTGGCGGGAGAAAGAGAAATGAGTCCTCATTTCCCAAGGTCTGTCAGGGAAGGCGAAGACGGCTGCCCACCCCTCTTCTTCTCCCCCTCCCGAGCCAAGCCTTGCAGCCAAAAGCGACCTCAGAGACCTGGTCAACCGATCCCGGGTTCTTCGCTGGTTGGCGCCCCCTTCTGCTCAATGGTGCTCACGGCCCTTTCTAAAGAAGCAGCGACGGCCGGGATTAAGCCTAAACTGGAGTTGGGAAGAGTCCACTTTTGCTTGCTGGGGTAGTTCTCTGGCCTTCCGAGGCACTAGGGCGCAGGTGGATAAGGCCTTCAAGGGACAGAAGGTGGGGGAACCTGGCAGGCTTTGGTGGGGAAGGTAGGCGGCGGGAAACAATGAAAGAAGCGGCCGTCTGAATCCCTCAGTGGCACCTGAATGCCGAAAGAGACGCTCAGGGCGCAGGGCTGGAATAACTTCCAGCAAGATGTTGCGCGGGCGCCTACCTATCTGCCCTGCATGAGCGGTCAGCCTTGTCCAGAAAAGCGGCTGTCTGGAGCCTTCCTTTTCGTTCAGGCCTACGTTAATTAACACGTTTCCGCCGCCCTCCAGTTACGGCGAGTGAAGTGGCCCAACACCACCACCACCACGTTGGGTTCCTGAAAAGGCTCGGCTCGGCTCGCCTATGGCTGTGGCGGGATGTGTGTACGTGTGTGTTTGTGTGTGTAACTGCTGCCACGGAAAGCAGGCCGCGAGGTCCGAGATTCACCTCGGAGAAAGGGAAAAAAGTCAGACGGCTGTTTGCTGGGAGGAGGTTGGAGCCGAGAGGCTCTCGCGGCCGCGCAGAAAAAGAAAGAAAGACCAAAAAAAAAAAAAAAAAAAAAAAGGCGGGCTTGCGGGCCTTACAGAGCCTCAGGGGGAAAGCGCTAGGTCGCTCCCGCTATCCCTCCTTCGGCCCCCTGCTCGCAGTCTCCTCAATTCCTGGCTCGGGGCGTCCCGGTTTTCCCCGGGAATGGGGCCCGGAGGCCTGCGAAATGGCGAACAGCGCCTGGTGTTTAAGGGCGGGTCGTGAGCAAGTTAGGGATGAAGGAAGGGGACGGTTTGGGGGGGGGGGGCTGGCCGAGGAAGGTTTTGCTCCTTTGGGATGGGGTGGGGGGGTGAAGAGAGTGTAAGCAGCAGAGCTTGGAGGCAGGCAGGGGTCACCCTGTGCTTCCCTTGGCCTCCCGCTGAGGTTTAGTCATGCCCTGACGGCGTGTCCAAGGAAGACAATGGGGCAAGTGGGCAGGGATGGGAAAGCACCGAAGAGGGAAGAAAGGCACCAAAGAAGCCAGCAATTGTGTCTGCTCTCCGCTACACCCGCCCAGCGGGAAAAGGAGGAATAAGGGAGAGCAAGTGGCCCTGGGCTTGCTCTGCCTTTGAGGCCTGAGTAGGCCTTTGTGACTCTGGTATCACTGGTCTGCTGCTATTCAGGGGTGGCAGGGAGCCTCAGTGACACCCGACCTTTCTCTAAGGAACCTTCAACATTGGGAAAGGAAGGCGATTTTATGGGCACACTTTAGTTAACTTGTGTGTGTGTGTGAGAGAGAGTGCATGTGTTAAATTAAACCAGCCAACTTTAAGAGAGAATGCTTGCTGCTGTGGAAGAGGTTAGGTATGTGTCAGGTAGAAGGTGTAACAGTGGCTTATTTTACGGCAGAATCTAGTGGAGGGAATAAAAATCATTGCCATGTCTCCTTGAACTGGCCATCTGCTTATAGGGAGTGAAGGAAATTTATGGGATTTGGGTAGAGGTGAGTAATTACCATAATGTAGCAATTCTATTAGCCCAGCACATTGACTTTCAGAGCCTAAAATAATTTTTTGGGGAAATAACTTTATCTTTTAAAAGTCAACTTAAAATAGTTGTTAAAATTTCCATTAAAAATTTATACAAGGCTGACTAAAAAATTGAGAATTTAGGATGGAGAATAGTGACGGAGAATTAATTTCTAAGAATTTTTTCCCCTCAACTTGTATGTCCGATTGCTTGAAATCATACAGAGCGTGGGAAGTTCAACTTCAGAATATACTAAAACAAAACAAAAATTGCACATCTTTTAATTTAACAGTTGAGCTGGTATGGAACTTGCTATTTGAAGCTGAAAAGTGGGTTTGATCATGGAGTTTATTTCCAACAATTATGAAACTACCATGCCTCATTTGCATGTCTAAAGAGTGATTAGCCTTTAATATTAGCTCGCAGATTATATTGTGAATACATGAGTAGGTTGTTTCACTTAATGTAAGTTGACTATCCAGTTTTGAAATGAACCTTACTTACCAGTATCGGGATGTTAAACTGCACTTAGTTACATATTTTAAAAATCAG